AACGCATCATAATAATTAATAATAATAATAATAATCATAATTTTATAATAATTATTATTGTTATCATCAATACTATTTAGGTATTATTGTAGATATGTTTTCAAGATTCAAGATTTCTTTATTTCCTTTCGGAAAATTATTACGGTACAAAATAGAGTAAAAGATTTATACAAAACAACAAACAACAATATATATAATTAGGCCATAAAACCTATTTGATATTATTTTGATTAAGAATTATAATGGATGAGGAATGAATGAGTTGAGATATCCTATTTGTTCCACTTTGTGATAGGCCTAACCGTTTACCCGAGTTAGTAAGTAAAAGATGCGTTTAGTGGGCGGGAACTATCTGATAAGATACTCTTTACTTTATCAATAATTTTAATCTCACAGATATCATCTAGTTCTACACACTGGCACCCAAAATATATTACCATACCTTCCCACGACCCAAAGTCTCCAGTTACACAACCCTTTCAAAATGTATCAAAAACCAACAATTTATACACTAACATTATATCGAATATTGTGTAGTGTCCGTAGTGTAGTCTCGTAACAACATTGGAGAATGGCTCAAGAACCTAATCAGACATCAAAACTTTATTAGGTAACTTTCGATAAACTTAACGGAAAGTTTGGGCAATGATGCAGCTGATGACCACTGCATATATAGAAATATCACAATCACAATCACAATCAATCACAATCACAACTCAATCACAATCACAATCAAAATTCGCTGATAGACGTTCCGCCGACAACCAATTTGCCGACTGAAAACGCAGACATTTTTTGTGAACATGTTAATGGATGGATGTGTCACAAGATTTAAATGTTTGATCTTTATTCAGTTATTTAATTTCACTATACTATCGAACAGTCAAGGTATAGGTTATAAGCAGTGGCGGCGCCAGCGGGGGAGGGGAAGGAGTTAAGTCCCCATTGGACAAGTCAAGCCCCCCACCGGCCTAGCTCGTCGGGCATTCGGACCAAAAAAAAAAAAAAAAATAGGCGCGCCTACACCAAGCCAAAATATGTTTTTCACAGTCGTAGAGTGCTATTTCCGGCCATCCAGAGGTCCCTATATTTAAAATAAATCTCATTTGGGAGGGATGGGGGCCCTGTAACTTTCTGAGGCTGGGGCCCCCTTTTCGATCCCGGTCGCAAATTCGATTGTGGGATTTTAGATGTGCTCGTTTTTTTTATATTTGTCTTTGTACTCTGGATTGTTTTTAACGACAAAATGAATTATGATATCAGTTGCTGATTAAGCTACGGTATTTGAAATAGCAGGTGCGGATCCAGACCTACGAAACGTTCGCCATGGCGAAGGTCAGACGTAGTGCTGTACATAGTAACTTTGATTGTAATCTTATTTCATGCTTCTTTATCAATGTGCCATCTCGTAGATTGAGAAGTAAACTTACATTTTATGTTCCTTTCGGGAGAGTAAATGCTAGTTTTGGATTGTTTTGTAGATTAAGTAAATTATACAACTCGTTTGTATAGTCCAAGATAATAGTCTTGATATATTTCTTGTTCTTTCAATTAGTTTTTAAGCATGAATTTTTAAGCTAACTGTAAATATATATTATATACTATATAGGCCTATTTATGTTTATAATTATTTTGTATTTCATGTTTCGTGTCAACCCTCCTGTTATTGGCGAATTTTATTCGCTGTTGGTTGTGGTTTTTAAATAAAATAGAATAAAATGAAATAAAAAATATGAAAGTGATTGTATCTTAAATGGTGTTATTTAAAAGGGACTGATAATGAATCGGATAAGCCTGCTGCGAACTTTCGCAAATAATAATTTAAAAGGCTAATTTAAGTTCCATTTCCAAACATCAAAATGTACAAAATACTGAAAATGTTTGCACCTCATGGCTAACGGCTCGCGTTCTTTCAGAATCCTCTTCCTTAAATTCTGGATACGTCACTGCACCCCATGCATGTAACACCAGCATTGATTGCCATAATAAAAGTATTTAAAGATAATAACTCAAAGTTCCAGTTGTAGGTGTTCATAGGCGTAGATCCGGGGG